CGAGGCCTTCCTGGCCAAGTATTTCCTTCCTTCTACTCAAGAAAGGTTGAGGGAATAGTTTGTTGAGCTGCGCCAAGATGCTACTCCTTTGGCTCAATTTGAGATGAGGTTCACTAGTTTGTCGAGGTTTGCTCCAGAGTTGGTGGCAACAGAGGAGCGCCGTTATTATGAGTTTGAGAGGCGATTACGTGATAATATCTGGGAGAAGGTGGTTGGATCTATGTGGAAGATTTATTTTGCTTTAGTTGAGGCAGCGGCCCATGTGGAGGCCATGGTTAGCAGTGTTGGTCAGGTTAGGGAGGAGGTCACTTCGGTGACTCTTACAGTTCATCATCACTCTAGGCTTAGTAAGAGGTGGAGGTGAGCACTTGCTCACTCCCAGACTCGGTCCTTGTCCTCGTCAGGGGTTTCGAGCTCGTTCGTTGGGGGACCCAGTGAGGTTCGGGCTCCAAGCCAAACTCGGAGTTGGGAGACTGCTGTTTTTTTTACTTGTGGTTTGCAGGGCCATGTTAGACTTTTTTACCCTTTGCGTGTGAATTCTTCAGGTGTTTCAGAATCTAGTCTGACTTTGTTCCATTAGTCTAGTCGGGGACGATATCGATACCAGACCCAAAAGGGGCAGGCTTCACTATAACAAAAACCACATTTTATAGCATTCGATGAATGCTATCAAAAGTAAGCAATAGCATTCGTTGGAATGCTATGTTTGCCCATGTTATTAAAAGTGTATCATTTTTAATAACATTTATCGAATGTTATCGTTGAACGCTATCGTAAATATATTATAACAATTTTTGAATGCTATGAAATAGTTAAAAGTTACTAAAAATACCAAAGGATAACATTTTGTTAATGCTATGAAATTGTTTTAATAGCAATCTAGTAATGTTACAATTTACCATATCATAACTAACTAAGAATGTTATAATAAAGCATGCTAACAAACTTTTTGATGACATTTTTTTAATGCTACAAACACCTCATTATGATAGCAATTTTAAATGCTATCATATAGTATTTATAAATATAATAAAAATCCATTCCAACACCAATATTGAAAACCTAAATCCTGTAAATGCAACAAACACATTTTCATCCATCACATACAAAACAATATCATCATTGAAAAATAACTCATCACCACAAATTTCATGAAATAATAAAATTGTCATAACATTGTCTTAATAAAGTACCAAAACACAATCTGTCACTGCGTTCAGAAAAATAAAAACAAAAACTTAAAGTCATAATGTCGTTATGTACAAGACATAATAACACATTCAAATTCCTTTTGCTGCACCCACAAACTTCCAAGCTGACTTCTATTGGTTCCATCTTCTTTCCAAACCTAATAACTGTAAAACAATAATCAACACATCACAGTAAGTATAATCAGTTTAAAAATAGAGTGTATATCAGTAGAAAGGAAAAATAAAAATAAAATTACATCAATAAACAACGTATTTATACCTAATGCTTATATCTCTACTCTCTTTCCTTTTCAAAAGCATGTAATGAAATACAAAGTGACAAAGTAAATGCAAAGGAGAATTGCCATTAAGATTTTTTTTTTCTTAATTTTAAAAATGATTTTTTTTTTATCAAGAAAAAAAGGAATTTTATTGACAAAATTAACATACAGAAACCATAACAATACATCAATAAAGGGAGGCGAGAGCAAAAAGCATCAGCATTACTTTTTAATCCCAACTAAGTTGGCACTAAGAAGAACACCTAATCATATGCTAGCTCAAGCCAAAAAGTTGGTGAGGGACCGACAAACAAAGAAACAAAAATTAAAAAAAAAGAAAAGAAAAGAACTTGGCCCAAAAAAAGCAAACCAACTAGCGAAAAGTTGAAGTATTTACTAACATAAACATGTTGCTGTGCATAATTTGTTGATCACGTATGCCTTAGCTGCTCACAGATGCTTTACCTACTTTTGTTGGTTTGTCAGTAGAGGCATAACTTGTCACCTTGCCACACATATTTTGGATTATACATGCTTAACACAGAAGTCATACACCATTTGCTAGAATGCTTATCTAAAGGATAAAAATACTATTGACATTGCTCTTTAAAGGCTAATGGCTCACTTGGCTACATATGTATGCCACCATAACCTGTTAAAAGTATGCGAAGTTGTATTGCTTCCATTATTCCTGCAAATGATTGGATTAACTTTTGAACTTTGGTTCTACTACTGTCATCGTCATATCATAACTGGTTTGCATATACCAATAGTGTCATTCAGTTCCTTGATATGTACTAATCACTTACTTCATGTAAAGTACGCCGAAGCTGTACGGCATTCCGTCCATTTAATTGTAGATTTTTCATGGTATAACTAAGGTCATTTGTACACTGTAAAGATAAGTTTCATAGTATATAGATCTCCAGTGGCAACCAAATCAATCAGCACCAACAGCAACAAAACAAACAGCAAATTAAAAAGCCACTAGGACAAAAACACGCAGCAGTAGCAACCAAATCAGATGCAACCCAATCCACTAGTAACAACCAAATCAGATGCTAGGTAAAAAGAACACCCAATCCACTAGCAGCAGCAACCAAATCAAATGCTAGGTACAAATCATTCATCTCCTACGACCCTAAGCAAAACCCAAATCAGATGCTTGGGATTATAACTGTGGGGTATTGTTTTTTTGCTATATCTTCATCATCATGGTTATCTTTTTAGTATTTGCATTGTGTCATTGCCTTAGATTGATTTTTTTGTTTTGATTATCTGTTTCTTTGTGATGCATTTTGTGGATATATCAGCTTTCTATAGATAAAGAATTATACTATGTTATTGATTTAATATGTGTTTGCTATTGGTTATTGCAATTTATGTGCAAGAAAGAAGTCTTCTTTTTGTTGTTTGCCAAGTTTAGTATTGAACTCCGCTGAGCATAGGTTGAGTCATGATTGGCTTTCTTGAACTGGAAAAAGTGATATATTTTAATTACCATTTTTTCAGGACCTTAGATCCACACATGGTATTAGAGAGGAGATCTTATATTCTATTGCCGGTCTTCATAAATTTGCTTACAAAAATCAATTAAAATTCCAAAACAAGGAAAAAGAACAAAAGAACTAACTCTGATTCCTAGTCTACTGGAGTTGAATTCCTTTTTGAAATGACTTGAAATGTCCCAAATGTGAATGTTACATAACATAATGATGTATTTGTCTTTAAAGCCAAAATGATCTTGTTTTATGGGCATTGCTTCAATTACCTTGCCTTTATATGGGCTCAAGATGCACTGCCATCCTCCTGAAACCCAGTGGCTGTTACATGTAAGGATGGACCATAGAAGAGACAGTGAGGGGCTATGGCCCCTCTGCTCACTTTGTATTGTCTTTATCTCTTAATAAAGTGTACTTCTATTGCATTACAAGGATTCCGGTTTAGATCCGACCCGTCTATTCATAAAAAAAAACATTTCTAGATTCTCTACAAATACATTTCTCCAGGTGGAATAAATAAAAACGAATATAATAAGATTTAAATTGTTCATGACGAGTAATTTTTTTAATCTTCTAAAAAATTACCAACCTGTAGAAGCGATCACTGCCCCATAATAACTTTGTCAGCTGGCCATGCAACTGTAGTACGCACAGCGTCTTCGATGTAAGTCATGTCAGCAATAGGCCTCCATAAATATGCTCCAACATCTCTTGCGAGATCCACCCATACTCTCATGGCATTAGGTCCAATAGGAATGTGATGGACAAGCTGTTTCGGATCACTTGAAGACCAACGCCCTTCAGCAACTACTTCCCCTAACCCCATCCAATCCAGCAACTTGCATTTCTTGTTGGGGGTGTTAGTGTTCTGACATTTTAGTAACAAGGCAATGACAAACAAGAGAAATTGTCACTCATATATGGTTGTTAGCTCCCCTCTTTCTCTCTATATATACACTATGTTAATATGTAAACCCTTCAATTTGGTGATTACTATTGCAACTTTCTTATGTTTTTCCTCTTCAATTCTTCAAATTTTTTTCCTAGCAAATAAATCAGGAAAGCATTGTTGTAGCACATATATTTTACTTAGCTTTGTCTCAAAAGCATATCTTCTACTTTCAAAGTTACAATTCCTTGTATATGTCATTGCATTTGCATTTTTCTTTAACTCATTACTATTCGTGTTAGATGGATACTTAAGTGGTAATCTAAAGTTGATCTCTAAAGATAAATATACTCATAGAATGGAAATGTATGTGTGTGTGCTTGTGCGCACACTACTTTCATGAAAAATGGAATGCAAATAATATTTTTTACCGAGGGAGAAACTACAGGTCTTGTTGATCCTTCCTCGCTTGCTTGATTCTGACACCAAAAAATGAAAGACAATAATGTAATTATGTTAAAAAGTTTGAAACCTATATCAGTAAATTTAATAAATGCGTAAAACTGCTTGCCTCATTTTTCATTAGATGACTAACTATGCTCTCCAAATGTGCCACTCTTTCTTTCAATTGACTAGCTTCTTCTTTTTCTTGAGTTTTATAACTATCCCTTTGTGAGAGTACACATAATTTAGTAAGAGTAACTCCTTTGCCAAGCCCTCTTATTCGCCCGCGATTCTCACGACCAAGTATTTTTGAAAGAGCATCTTGTTTTACCTTAAGAACAGATGATGATACTGGATCATCAAGTTCAACTTCTTTCAATTTATCTTGAAAAAATAATATTATTATTATTATGTCTTAGTAGATAAGGATGACCAATGAGTATCAAGATCTATTATAAAAAAAATAAAAAATAAAAAATTATTGAATAGAGAAATGTTCTTACAATAGTTTCAGCAACAGTTGTGTTTATGGGTTCACCACTCTTTTTGGTATGTGCTTGAATCCAGACAGGAACTCTAGACAGAGATGAGGAGGTTGCACCCTTGTTTTTCTAGGGGGGGAAAAAAAAAGATTCATACTATAGAAAAAATACAAACAGAACTAAATAAAATTTATAATAAAATTTGATGTTACCATGTCCTCAGTCAACTGTGCATATCCCTTGCGACTGCATGTATGTGGGAGTTGTTTCCTTCTAATTGTTTTGAATTTCTCACTTTTAGCCTAAAGCAATTAATCAATTTTTAGTTTTTTTTTTTTTTGGGTCAACGAAAACGTTCTATTTTATTGAATTTTTTTTTTCTGATCGGCAAAAGAAAACTTTTTTGATGAAACACGTACAGGGTACAATGGAAAACATCAATAAAGAGGAGCTAAAGGCTTGAAGAAGCTCAAACCTCCTAGTTGGTGAGAGACCAACAATAGATAAAGCCAAAAAAGAAACAAAAAACAAAGCTAAACAGAACAACACATAACACTGCAGCAAAGCATACTGCACTAAAAACACAGCTAAAAATAAGCATCAAAATGCTGCAGCAAAGCAGAACAAAACCGAAGCAGTTGAGGGGAAGTCCAAAACACTGCACTGTAGCAAAAAAAACAACCATAACACTGCACTGTAGCTATCAAAAATAGCAACCGAAACACTGCACTGTAGCAAGAATAGCAACCAAGAGTAGCAACCAAAAATTAACACTGCACTGCACTCTAGCAACGAAGAATATAAACCAAAACACTAGAGACAGATCAGGGGAAGTCCAAAACAGCGGAGGCAGATCAAACACCCAGGTAGACAGACTTCAACAGCAGATAGATTACAGCCCTGAGCAATGTTGATTACAACAATGGAGGTAGTGTAGGTAGCAGCAAAAAGCAATGCAGATTACAACAGAACACAACATTATAGTAAAATAGACAAATCTTGTTTAATGGAATAGCAGCATGCCCCCTAACAAAGATCAAACAACAATGATGATTAGTGATCCCCTTGCAACAAAACAGGACAAAAAGGTGGAGAAACATAGCACCCAAAAGGATGATACTTTGAAATTGAATAACAACTTTAGCTTTGCATGTACAAAAACACAGATCCTTAGTTACTGGGGTATCCCCAAAATAGGAAGCACCCAAACAATATAATGAAAAATTCAAAAATGGAATTTTCTAGCAGCCTGATGCATAATTAGAACAACTATAATATCTGTTTTTCAAATTTTCCCCATTCAGCAAAGTGGTACTTTGATAACAATAGAATTTGTCTTTATCATATGTTGCCTTTATAAAATAATATTGACAACTTCAGAAGTTTCTTACCTTAAACCTTTCACTTGTCTTTTCCTTCAAGAAATCCTTCCACTCATGATCAAGTCGTAGTTTAAGCCTTTCTTCTTCGTTTGATGCTTTCCTTATTTTGGTAACTAATCTTGATTTGGAGGCCCTCCAAAGATCATCCATTGACATAAATATATGATCTTTTTGCCACTCTTCATCTACCTTAAATCTTACTTGCAAGTTGTATTACCATAAAAGTTATGATTATTTTATGTTCAAAGCAAAGATATTTAAGTTTGGTATACTACACCTGAATAGATTTCCACAAGGCTTCTCCCATCCCCGAAGGAAGTTTCCTCCAATCAGGAAGTGTTACAAGTACAATCTCTTGAACAAGAGCTCCTAAGAAAGAGGATAATTTGACCGATCCATCACCAATTGGTTGACCCAAGTCATTGTATGCTATTTCAATTCGACTTCCGTCATCCACTGCAATTGTTTTCAATTTGGTTGGGCCCCTTTTTCGTTTAAGACTTTGTGAACCCTCTGTAGGAACTGTAGCTGTTTCTAGGGAATCTTCAGGCAAGAGGTTGGATGGTCCTTCATGAGAAACTTCACTTGATGTCTGCCTGGGACGTAACCTCCCCTTACAACTAGCAACCATGGTAGCCAACCTATTCAACAAAATAATAACATAGCATCAAATTCCAAACTTAGTTAGAGAAATGAATTGAAATAAAGAAAGTATCTTCAAAGAAGAATTGAGTTGTATACCTTATAAATACATAAAGGCTACAAAAGTGATAGAAATGACCAAGCAAAAAAAACCTGTACATACCATCATTTCCCAAAAAGTTTTAAATAAAAACTTGTAAAGTGCAATATTATACATTCATCATAAGTTAAAACTCTTTTATCTTGTTTTAAACCACCATAAATAATTCTGAAACAAATTTAGAATGTAAACTAGTGCTTTAAAAAGAAATTTCAAAATAACATTATAAACTCAAAAAGACTTGAGATAAAAACTACAATCTTTTCAAGAGTAGCACACAAATCACACCAATATGCCCTCACAATCTTCTCTCACAAAACTGCCTTCGTCATTATCATCATCAATGTTCAAATCAAGTGATGAAACGTGGTGTGGCCTAGAAGACATATCCTCATTCTCATCATACATTTCTAACTCATAATAACCTCTTGGTGGTGCCTTTAGTAGAACATACCAATTAGATGAATCAGTTTCTCTCGAATAAAACACTTGTTTTGCTTGTGAGGCCAATATAAAAGGCTCCCTCTCATATTGGTTGTCACCTTGGGGTAGATTAACAAGTGTAAAACCATCTTCAAATCTAACACCATGTCCAATATTTGCCCAATCACACTTGAATATTGGAAGTTGAAATGTATGGTAATCTAATAAAATTATATCTCTGATCACACCATAATATGCAACGACATCAATAACTTGTGAAGTGTCCTTTGCACTTGCTCTGCACATGGTGCTAGCTTCAATAGAAACACCACTATTTTGAGTTGACTTTTCTGCTTCCTTTGTGTGGAATCGCTGCCCATTAATTAGATATCCATTATAGGACATTGCATGCTTTCTAGGACCATATGCAAGCCATTTTAGTTTGTCCACCTCATTATTGTCCAACTCATTAGTTGATGGCGTATGAAACTGATTCTGTTAAAAACTAAGGAAATAAATTCATATGTTATGTTATCATATTCTTCTAGACAAACAGATTTGAAATAACATGTAACCTTTTCCTTTAACCATGCTGCGAAATTTTCAGCATGTCACTTCAAAAGTAAGCTTTTATTATTTTGAAGACCAAGGCTCCTGTTTGATTGCTTTAAGTCCTCTAAATGCATCCTGATTGAAACCAAAATATGTAAGTGGTTTATAACTGATATCAGGTACCTAGTAAATTATGCATTGGAAATTCTATCATACTTACTCCAAATAGGGTTCCACTGTGGCTGTATTGAACAACACGCAACGATGTGCAGTTTCCAACAATTCATCACTCAATGTGATTGATGTTCCACCTGAAATTGGACGACCTTCGAGAATCACATCATTATCAAAATCTTGATTACGGCCTACTTGATAATCTACTTCAATAGTTGTCTTCATATTTTTATTACAAAATGACATGCACTCATCTGCAAGATAGCATTCTGCGATGCAGCCTTCAGGTCGTGCTGGATTCCTAACATATCCTTTGAGTATCTTCATATATCTTCAAAAAAATGAACATCATATTACAATGATACTTCTTAACACATAGTCATATTTAATAATCATAAAATAGGTGTTCACCTTTCAAAGGGATACATCCAACGGTATTGGACTGGTCCACATAATCGTGCTTCTCGTCCTATGTGAATTGTTAAATGTATCATGATGTCAAAGAATGAAGGTGGAAAGAACCTTTCAAACATGCATAAGGTTTCAATGACTTCTTCTTCGAGGGCAGCTATTTGTTCTCTATCAAGGACTCATTGACATATTCTATTGAAGAAAGAACACAACTGAATTATGGCATTTCTTGGTCCTTCCGGCATTAATCCTTTCAAAGCTACAGGCAACAATTGTTGCATCAGAACATGACAATCGTGGGATTTGAGGCCTATAATCTTGCATTCCTCCATCGATATACAATTCCCAATATTTGAGCTATATCCATCGGGTAACTTTAGGTCAAATAACCTCTTGCAAAATATTTCTTTTCAGTCCTTGATAGTGTATGTGCAGCTGCAGGGAGGTATGTTCTAGTCCCATGGTTTGTTGGATGCAAGTCATGTCGTATTCCCATTTCTTGTAAATCCTTACGAGCATTGAGACCATCCTTTGATTTTCCATTGATATCCAACAAGGTGCCAATGATGCTCTCACAAACATTTTTCTCTATATGCATTACATCAAAGTTATGACGTAATGTAAGTTCCTGAGAAATCATTATAAAAACACTTATAAAATTGCTACTATAAAAAACTCAAAAAAAATAAAAAATAAATAAGATATATCAAAATAGTCAATAACAATTATCTTCCAATAAGGTAATTCAAAAAAAATTGACCTCTTTTTCCACGTTTGAATAGGTTCATTATCTCGCTTTCACTTCTTTCCACTTTTTTCGTAATCATTCTTCGTGTCTTTAATAGAAACCCAAATGTTGTAGCCAGTCATGATTTTTGGATTTCTTCTCTTTTCTTCCTTACCATCAAACCAAGTTTTTTTCTTTCGAAAAGGGTGAGATGGTGGAAGGAAGCACCTGTGGCCCATGTATGCAAACTTCCTACTAAATTTTAGCCACTATGAATATGTATTGTTGCCACATATAGGACATGCTAATCTACCCTTTGTAGTACACCCAGAGAGATTTCCATATGCTGGAAAGTCATTTATTGTCCACAATAAAATTGCCCTCAAATTGAAAACAGTTTTTGTGAAAGCATCATAAATATTCACCCCATTATTCCACAACTCTTGCAGGTCTTCTATAAGCGGTTGTAAATATACATCAATGTCATTACCTGGTTGCTTTTTTCCTGGAATCAATAATGTCAACATAACATTTTCTCTTTTCATACATAACCATGGTGGGGAGTTATATGCAACTAGCATCACAGGCCAACAACTGTACGTAGAACTCAAATTACGAAATGGATTGAAACCATCAGCAGCTAGACCTAGTCTAACATTGCGAGGATCTGATGAAAAAAGTGGCCACTTATTATTAACCAAGTCCCATGAGCAAGAATCAACTGGGTGTCGCATCTTGTTATCTTCACTTTTATGAGCAAAATGCCACCTTAAATCTTCAGCCATTTGTGATGACCTAAACATCCTCCTAAACCTTGGGATTATAGGAAAATATCTTAGCACTTTAGCAGGAACACCTTTTTTAATTTTATTGGTGCGTTGATCGACCTTC